CTTCCCTGCCAGCTGGTGTCAGGACCCACCTAATAAACAAGTGTGGCCGTCTCCTCCCTCTCGCTTGTCGGGGCGGGACTTGCCGGGGGTGGGGTTTTGAGGCTGAGGCCACCCAGGCGCCTTCGGAGGCACCCGCGTCGTACCCGCCCCCGAGAGCTGATTGGCTGGTGTGCTGGGCCCAGGATGGGCCGGGGGCGGGACCGTTTAAAGACCTCTGGACAAGAGCGGTCGCTGTCCAAGCTTAGTGTCCAGACAGGTGCAGGCGCGGCGGGGCCGGATCCTCTGCGTCACCGAGCCCATCTCCTGGGGGATGGGGCGGGCTGTGATTCCTTGACCGACTTTTGTGAGCTCCCACCCTCCGGAGAAAAGATCATGGCCCCTCCTCAGGGCTCTCGGGCCCCGCTGGAATTCGGGGGGCCCCTGGGTAATGGGGCAGAGAGGGGGGACCTGGGGGCTGAGGCTGAGTGGCGGAGAGCTGGCGGGAGTGAGCTACAAGCGGAGAGGTGGGCAGGATCTCAGACGAAGGCTTTGGGGGGTATCTGGAGGCAGAACGATCCGGGGGTTCGCAGGGGGAGTGTCTGGAGAGGGAGAACTGAGGAGGGGCCGGTTCTGGGGCCTGCAGAGCGGGTGATTTGTGGAATGGAGGACTGGGAGTTGGGGGAGCAGGAGGAGGGTCTTCGAGGGACCGGGGGCAGAGAACCAAGATGGAAGGCAGGGAAGGGGACTGAGAGCAGCGGGGAGCTTGGGGGCTGAAGGCTGAGAACAGGATACGGAGGCGGGCGGGGGGAATGCTAAGGGGGCCCGGGAGACGACAGGGCGCCTGTGGGGTCAGGGGAGGGCTGGGGGGTGGACGCCCGACGCGATGACCTCCTCCCCAGGAGCTGCGGCGCTGCTGCTGCTGCTGCCTGCCACCATGTTCCACCTGCTCCTGGTGGCCCGCTCAGGCCCGGCGCGCCTCCTGGGCCCACCGCCCTACCTGCCGGGGCCGGAGGCGCTGTGGAGCCCGCGGGCGCTGCTGCTGTGGCTCGCCTGGCTCGGCCTGCAGGCGGCGCTCTACCTGCTGCCGGCGCGCAAGGTGTGGGCTCCGCTCGCCCGCGCGCGGGGGAGGCGGGCGGGGACTCCGCGAGGGACCCCCCGCCCTTATCAGGGCTCCCTTGTACCCGCAGGTGGCCGAGGGGCAGGAATTGAGCCCGCGGGCGCTGCTGCTGTGGCTCGCCTGGCTCGGCCTGCAGGCGGCGCTCTACCTGCTGCCGGCGCGCAAGGTGTGGGCTCCGCTCGCCCGCGCGCGGGGGAGGCGGGCGGGGACTCCGCGAGGGACCCCCCGCCCTTATCAGGGCTCCCTTGTACCCGCAGGTGGCCGAGGGGCAGGAATTGAAGGACAAGAGCCGCCTGCGCTACCCCATTAACGGTGCCTGGGGGACGGGCCCTTGCACTGGATTTGTGCGGATGGGGTGGAGCTCCAGGTCTAGCGGGGAGGTCCAGGGAGATTAGCCCTGACCCCAACCCGGCTCCCTTTCGTGCCTCCTTGATGCCCAGGACAGACGCGAGGGGACTTCTCCACGCTCCTTGTCCCCACACCCCACCCCATTTGCTGCTATCCTATGCATGAGAACAGTGGCTGGGGTGACCCTCTGAAGGCTTGGGGCGAGGTCTGTGACCTCCCTGAACTTAGGGGAGTGTGTGCGTGTGCGTGTGCGTGTTGGGGGCAGGGGATGTCGGTGCCCAGGCTCACTGTGTGCTGCGATTCAGGTTTCCAGGCCCTGATGCTGACAGCCCTGTTGGTGGGGCTGGGGGTGTCAGCGGGGCTGCCCCTGGGAGCGCTCCCGGAAATGCTCCTGCCCTTGGCATTCGCAGCCACCCTCACCGCTTTCATCTTCAGCCTCTTTCTCTACGTGAAGGCTCTGCTAGCCCCCGCCTCGGCTTTGGCACCCGGGGGGAACTCAGGTGAAAAGGGTCTCAGTGGCGGGGTGTGCGGGGGTGGAGGCAGATGGGGGCGCCTGCCTGCACCTTCACTTTCACCCTTCATTATTCTCCAGGCAACCCCATTTACGACTTTTTCCTGGGACGGGAGCTCAACCCTCGCATTTGTTTCTTTGACTTCAAATATTTCTGCGAACTGCGGCCCGGCCTCATCGGCTGGGTATGCTGGGCCTGACTGAACTGGCCGTGGGTGGGATGGGTGAGCAGTGCTTGGGCAGGGCAGGGCCAAATTCGTGCAGACATGAATCATTAGTCATTCATTCATTCCACGAACATTTGCTGAGTCCACTATGTGCCCTAGGCACTGGGAGACAAAAGTGAAAAAAGTTACAGGAGAGAAAAAAATCTCTGGCACATAAACTTTACATTCTAGTGGGAAAGAGACAAAAAACAAACAAACAAACAAAAAAACAGTAAAATATATATAGCATGTCAGGAGGTGACAAAGTCTATGGAGGGAGTTAGGAGAGCGTGTGCAATTTTACGTACAGCAGTCAAGTGCAGAATCTATTTTGAGGATAGTGATCGCAGGCTGCTTGATGGTCATGGTGGTGTAGAATCTAGAATTGATCGCTGGGTTTAGCAACCCGTCACTGGTGGCCTTGACAACATTCTGACTGTGTTCATTGGTTGTAATCACCTGTGCTGGACTGTGGCCAAGGTTACCCAAAGGGACTCTTGGGCAAGATTTCTCGTGTCACCCTGGAAATTGATCTCATCCAGAGGCGGTAGTGTCAAGTGCCTACCATGGATCTGGATCCTGCCTGACCGCAGGCACATCAGCCTCTAAGGCTATTTCCTCATCTGTGAAATGGGATAAAATGAAAGCATTCTCCCAAAATTATGTGAGGATTAAAAGCGATAACCTTAATGACAGCACCGAGCTCAGTGCTACTAAAGCGAGGGTGGCTCCCAGCTAACCACCACCGAGTACTTGCCAGGTGCTAGGGGCACTCTGCTTAGCGCTTCACACACATTGTGCCACTGAGTCCTCAAACAGCTCCATGAGGCAGGTCTATGACTGTCTGCATTTCCACGTGGGGGTGGGGAAAGTAGGCTTTAGAGAAGGTAAGCAATCTGCCCAAGTGGCAAAGCTGAGATTCAAACAAGCCAAGGTATGTTGTAACTCCGGAGACTGAGCGTCCAGCTGCTCCCAGTGCCGCTCTCCCCAAGGGCTCACTACAAGACAAGGTGAGAGTAAACTGGCTGGGAGCATCTCCAAAGGTGTTCCGCTGCAGTCCCTGTGCCCCTGGGTATAGGGCCTGGACCCACTCCACAAGGGGCTGCAGTGAGTGACTGTGACAGCTGAGAGAAGAGCAGAGGCTGGCACTGCTCCACCCAGGTGCTGCCACCTATGTGGAGATGACTGCCCTGTCCTCCCCCTCAGGTCCTCATCAACCTGGCCCTGCTGGTGCAGGAGGCGGAGCTGAGGGGGAGTCCCTCACTGGCCATGTGGCTGGTCAATGGTTTCCAGTTACTATATGTGGGTGATGCCCTCTGGCATGAGGTGAGGCTGGACTGGGTAGGGGAGGCAGGGGAGGGTGTCTGAGGACCTCATGGGGACTAAGCCAGTGTCTGGGTCCTGTCCCTGCAGGAGGCTGTCCTCACCACCATGGACATCATACACGACGGGTTTGGCTTCATGTTGGCTTTTGGGGACCTGGCCTGGGTACCCTTCACCTACAGCCTGCAGGCCCAGTTTCTTTTGTACCACCCACAGGCTTTGGGGTTGCCCATGGCCTCAGTCATCTGCCTCATCAATGGTCAGTCGGGGGCAGTAGGCTGGGCTCATTTCCCCTCCCTTTTTCATTCGTTTATTTATTCAGCACCCACTAGGTAGGTGCCAAGCCAGCCTCAGGTGCTTTTCCATAGCCAGGGGCTGGGTTCTGGGTGCCCAGGCAGAGTCTGGGCTGTGGACAAGGTTGGGTGGATGGTCAGGGTCAGGCAGCAGGCTTTAACCCTCATCTGACCACCTGCTTACACTTTCCCCACAGCTACTGGTTACTACATCTTCCGTGGTGCTAATTCCCAAAAAAACACATTCCGAAAGAATCCTTCTGACCCCAGAGTGGCTGGTGAGCTGGGTCTCTAGGGTGCTATGGGTATGGTGGGGCAGTTGGGCTTCTTGGGAGTCCCCCGCCCCACTACCTGTCTTTCCCCAGACCTTGAGACCATTGCTACAGCTACAGGACGGCAGCTGCTGGTGTCTGGGTGGTGGGGCATGGTCCGCCATCCCAACTACCTTGGAGACCTCATCATGGCTCTGGCCTGGTCCTTGCCCTGTGGTGAGTGGCTGGGGTGGGTATGGGTAGGGGCAAGTGAGGGGCAGAGGTGGCAGGGTGACCACAGGATGCCCAGTCTGGGTGTGCCCCAGCAGAGGGAGCTAGAGATAGACCCAGTGTACGGCCGGGGCAGACACCCATGCCAATCTAATATTGTGCCTTGCTGCACACTATTAGACCTTTCACTGCTGAGCCCTGATGCCCCCATGAGTCATTAGGTGTGGAAACTTCTGAACTGGGGGGCTGGCTGGGTAGTCACAAAGCTCCCCTCCCTGCAGGGGTGTCCCACCTGCTGCCCTACTTCTATCTTCTCTACTTCACTGCGCTGCTGGTGCACCGTGAGGCCCGGGATGAGCGGCAGTGCCAGCAGAAGTATGGCCTGGCCTGGCACGAATACTGCCGGCGTGTACCTTACCGCATCGTGCCTTACATCTACTGAAGCAGCACCACCCACCCGCCAGCACACCCAGGACTCAAGGGCCTGCACCCTACCCAGCCCTGAGCTCTACAAGGGCAGGGACAAACAGCCTTACAGATGAGGTGGCTTGGAGCAAGGAGAAAGTGAAGCCAGTGCCCCAAATGGAGATGCTCTTCCTCCTTTGGATAAATATCTGGAACCCTTGGTGTGCTTCTCTCCCATTCTGGGGCCAGGGTCAGCCCTGATCAGGGAGAGGCTGAGAGGTGGTTTGTGGGCCCACCGATCTGGGGTCAGGTGGGACAAAAGCTGTCGCTCAGAAATGGGCACTGCCAACAGGGCAGATCAGTCACAGCTTTATTAATGACAAAGGTCCCCAGTTCAGCCAGGGAGCTCCTCAATGAGAATCCTTGAGGCAGGTGGCACAGGGCCTCCCCAAAGCCGCTCCAGCTCCCCAGTGAGGGCTGCCACCTCCTCGGCTGCCACGGCATGGGCTCTGTGGGCCCTGGCACAGTCTAGGGCTAGGGGCGTGAGGGCTGCCTCATTTTCGTTGGTCCAGGCCATCAGGAACTGGCACTTCTTCCGGGCCCGGTAGAAGCGATCTCGTTCTTCCCTGGCCACAGCCTCTTTCCGGGCCCGGCCCAGGGTCTGTGCCAGATGCCCAAGTGCAGCCAGCGTGTAGCCTTTCTGGTTGGCGGGGCCCGAACCCAGCAGGATACGGGCGGCCTCGTGCATAGCACCTCGTGTTCCCAGGGGCCCAGGCGGGTGCTCGCCGGCTTCCAGCACGTGGGCTGCTGCCTGCAGGGCTTCCTCAGCAGAGGCGAAGACTTGCTGGGCGCCCAGGGCTCCAGAGACGCCGAGCAGCGTGGCACAGAAGTCGGAGAGCAGTGCGTCGTCACCACCATGATACAGGGCGAGAGTGTGCGCGTAGGCGAACAGCACGTTGGGCAGCTGGAAGCGCACGAGCGGAGAGACCGGGCCGCGGCTCAGGCTGGCCAGCGCGGGGATGCGGGCGGGCACGGCGGGCGTGCAGGCCCCCGGGGCGTCTCCAAGAACTGGCTCGGCGGCCGCGGGCTCCGCAGCAGGGGCATTCCTCACGGATTCCAGCGGGGTCCTCGCAGGGGCGGGCTCCAGCTCCGCAGCGTCATTGCCCGGAGCATCATCCAGCTCCTCCAGAAGCCGTGGTCCGGCCCCGTGGCCCCACCACCACGGCTGCCACGGGGGCAGCAGCCGCCCGGCCTCGCCGCGGCTTAGCAGCCGCTCGAAGGTCGCCTTCTCCGCCGGCGCCAGCCGCTCCCAGAGTCCTGAGAGGCCGCCGGGCGCCGGGCCAGGGCTGAGGCCTGCTTCCTCGGGCTGGTCCTCGGTCTCGCGTTGCTGACGCAGCCGGCGTAGGGCGCTAGCCAGGCGGCTGGGCGAGGCGCTGCGGCCGCGGAGCTCTCCCAGCACCTGTTCTCGGTAGAAGTCTTCGGCGCAGGTGCCATGCGCCCGGTAACAGCGCAGCGAGCAGTAGGGCACGTTACAGCGCGGGCAGGTGTAGCGCGCTGGCTGGGCCTCCCGGGCCGGGCAGAAACCGCAGGGCCCGGCCGGCTCCATGGCAACTGGCGCCGCGTGCTACCCGCTAACGCTTTCCTGCGGTAGCACGGGAACTTCCGGCGCTTCAGTTACTTCCGACGCTTCGGTTACTTCCGCCTGGAACCGATGGAATAGAAGTTTAGGCGAGGCAAAGCTGCCGAGGACTCTCGGCAACTTCCGCCCACACTCGGAAGCCCCACCCCTGGCTCGAGGCGCTTGGGCAAGCGCAGAAGCCAGTCGTGACGTCCAAGCCCCGCCCTGCGGTGACGCAGCGAGACCAGAAACATAGGTCCGGCGAGCGCTCTGCTTGTCCCAGTTCGCCCCCTAGTGGTTGCGCCAAAATTTGCCCCACCCCGCCCCGATTGCCTAAAGATAAAAAATTACCTTTTTAGCACTATAAACCGCTGCGACAGAAATAATCTTGGCTGAGAACCCACTATGGGCCACTAACTGTGCCAGGCATATGGGAAACGAGATGCACCCCCGCACTGGAGGAGCAGCCATTCTACTAAGCGACATAGACAAAGGGGTAGTTAGAGTGAAAGGCCAAGATGGGGGCACCTAAACTGGGTGTGTGTGTTGGTGATATCTCCTCTCCAACAGGAAACAAGATTTATCTGAGCTCCTGTATGATTTCTTCCTCCAAACCTGCCTCCTCTTTTCATTAAGTATTTTTTTAAATATCACTATCGTTCATACAACTTAAGTGCAGACTCCATACTAGGTGCTTAGAACACAATGAGGATCGGAAAGAGATGGGGGTCCCTATCCTAATGGAACTTCATTATGCGGTGGAGTGGGGGTGATGAGCCACAAACATCCATGCCAAGCACGGCGAAGTCTTGATCCACGGCACCCTCGAAAGTAAGCCCTGGTTCTATTTTTTTTTAAGATGACCGGTAAGGGGATCTTAACCCTTGACTTGGTGTTGTCAGCATCACGCTCTCCCAAGTGAGCCACAGGACGGCCCTAAGGTTCTTTGGTCCTTCTCACCTCACATCCAATCCTAGGTCCTGTCAGTTCTGCCACCAAAATAACTTGTATTTATCTTGATATGGATCATATACTTCCCTACCAAGATCTGGATGAACTTGAAGAACTTCTTTGTATCCCACTTCTACTGGTTGTCTAAGCTATCTGTCCCCTCACCTGGATGATAATTCCTTAACTGGTTTTCTAACTTTCTTGACAGCTCCAGAAAAGTCAGCCAGAGAAGCTGGATCACAAGTCAAATCACATCAGTCTCTTGCTTAAAACCCCCACATGAACCTCCACTGCACTTGGACTCAAACCCAAATTTCTCTCCATAGCTGACAAGGCCCTGCAGGATCTGCCACCCACCTCCAGACATCACTTCTGCTCCTGCCTTTGCAGTTCTCTTGGCTGGAAGCTTCTCCATTTCATCACTTGATTGGCTCAATTCGGGTCACATACATACAGCTCATGCTCAGAGGCCTCCCCTGGGGATGCTCTTGAGAATGTCGGTCCACACCCTCCCCCGCTTTCATTACAGAGCCTTGCTTTCTTTGAGGCTGTAACACTTTTAAGTAATTTCTCACTTTCTCCCACAAAAATCTAATCTTGCTAGAAGGCAGGAGCCATTTCTTTTTAAAATACTACAGAGAAAAAAATAGCCAGTATTTGCACACTTACCATGAGCCAGGTGATCTAAGCATTTTACATTCTTTATTTAACTTAATCCTCACAGCAACTAAGAGATGATGGCAGAGATTAAATTAGCAGTCAGTTCAAGGCCAGCCAGCCAGTAAATGGAGCAGGGGGGGGGGGGGAAA